TATAGGAGTCGCGTGATGAGTTACAATTATAAAGGATAACTAACAGGTGAATGGACGATGTGATATGACATGATATGTGATTAAGCTTTTGATATTATACTATTTTCTAGAGTTTGTAAAAAGACATTGCTTGACTGACATGTAACATATTATACTTGCTCACCATTTTATTTTACAAATGATTTACTTGGCAAGACATATACTAGATGAGCTAAGTTTGTGTTAGACGTGATATTTATTTCATTTATTTTGTACAATTGTAAGATTTTCGGATTATTTATGTAAAAGAAGTTTGTCGTCATAAAAGAAAAATCTCTCCTCGCATGCGTGAAATTCTCTCTATAGGGAGGTCTGACATATTAATTGAGGTGGTTTTTTATTTTATTTTGGATAATGCTAGAGAAACTAAATTTATAGACAAAATTTTGAAAACTAAAGGACATGGAAATTGATGATTGGTTTATCACTTAAATGTTAATAAACGTGCTCATTCCTATTTGTGACACATCATTTAGTTGTAAATTTAGTCTCCAAATTTAGTTTTTCTAGCATTATCCTTTTGATTTTACGCTGGGTAATGATTGATATTAAAGCGGTATGTAACTGTTGAATTAAGTGATGCATAATTTTGGGGGATTTCTTTGTCATAAAGGAAAAAGTTTAAAATAGGCATGGAGGAGCATGGATGTAACCGTTGAATTATGTGATGCATAATTGAGGGGGATTTAATTATGTGATGCATAATTGAGGGGGATTTCTTTGTCATAAAGGAAAAAGCTTAAAATAGGCATGGAGGAGCAGGTATGCAACCATTGAATTATGTGATGCATAATTGAGGGGGATTTCTTTGTCATAAGGGAAAAAGCTTAAAATAGGGCATGGAGGAGCAGGATGGTGTTATTATATTTGTATTTTTTATTTAACAAATAATATATTATCTACATTAAGAAAAATGGGTTGGCTTAGCCTCATAATGGGTTAACAATAATATAGTTCAAATTCATCTTTTGGTCAAAATCGAACTCAAGACTTCTCACTTACAAGTTACAAGTGAAGAGGATACCACTATACTCTTAACACAGGTTACAGCAAGTGGACTGCAAGATTGGGAGCTTTCCTGTTTCTGCAGCTGAAACATTATTCTCCATATTTTCCATAAATGGAGAGTCACGGTGCATGCTCTGCATGGTGATCAATAAAAGGATAATATTTGCACACTATCAGAAAATGTGGTTTGCCTTACAAAAGCTTGCCTGACAAACCATATTTCATTAAATAAAGACTTTTTATCGGACAAATTTTTTAGTTGGTAAGGTGGTGGGGTTGGGGTTGCTAAAGAGATCATCTACTTGAATTATATTGTGTAGACCACAATGTAACGGTTAATTGTTAGTTAAAAAAAAAACTATTAGAGAAGGAAATCAACCATCAACTGCCACCTCATATGATCTTAAAAATAAAGTCTAAAAACATAATCTCCCTATCATTTTCCTTCCCTTTTTAACTCTCCCTCTCCCTTCTTCTACGTCATGCATTCGCTTCCGTCTTTTTCTTTTTCCCCTCACTCATCGAACATGACATATGGGAATTTCGATTAGTTTTGATAGAATTTGAAGCATCTTATTAAAATGCTCAACACTCAAGATATCAAAAAACCACCAGCAACATGATAAGCTTTGTGAATAACCTCTAGAGATTGTTAATTAAAATGCTCCAAATATGTGTAACAAATTTCAGAAAAAGAAAAAAAAATAGGGCGGAACATGCTGATAAAGTTCTTTGCAAATCTGTGTAACAATTTTCAGAAAAAGAAAACAAATTGGTGACAAAATTATGTAAATTCATTGGAGAAGAAGAGAGTGAGAGCAGTGGCGGATCTAAATTTTTAACATCAAGTGATCCTCTTATAAAAGCTTAAAAGTATTTAAAAAATAGGAGGGCCGTAAAAGCTACAGGTAGACATTAATGCTTCTTCAACTATGATATGGTTATTAGCACTTCAAAAATCTCATTCTATACTCCAAACTTTCTATATTAAGAAAGAAAAATACACTTGTAAGAAGTGTAGAATGAAATTTTTGGAATGCCAATAACACTTCCCAAATAAAAAACATAAATATTTCTTGTGTTATGAGTCTTTTTGGTTTTCTCCAGCCACCTGGATATGTCAAATAGAGAGTCTGGTTTGGACTCGCTTTTGAGCGAGTCCGGCTGCACGTCTCTAACCTTAATAAAAGAGTAATGATATTCATACTATATTTTTGTACTACATTTTCATACCACCTTAGGTGACATCTGATATGGACAATCACATCATTTGAAAAATTTGCAAAACCCAAGAAAAGGAAGGAGAAGGAGTCCTTGTATACCATAATCATAATTTAATTAACTAGTTTTTCTTAATTATTAGTTTATTAAATAATGAATTAAATTTAAAAATCTAATTAATTCAAATGATATGGCTGTTCATATCAAATATCACCTAAAATGATATGAAAATATAGTACAAACACATGGTATGAATATAGTTACTCTTAATAAAACGATTATTTGAATTCTTTTCCTACTATTAAATACTATAATAGCCAATAATGTGATTAAAATATTCATATGCATTGAAAGACATACATGATGCATCCCCTTTAGGATACCGTCACGAAATCTCTAGCTCTTCTTATATACAGACGAAGACCTCAGAAAAAGCATATCATTAGAAAGCTCCAACCATGGCTCTCATCACCCCCGTAATGTTCTGGCTTCTACTTCTCCTACTTATCCCTCTACTTCTTCTACTTAAAAAGAAGCAAAATGTCGATAAAACCCCACAAAATAAGCAAAAGCACCTTCCACCAAGCCCTCCCAAGCTCCCCCTCATAGGCAACTTACACCAAATCGGTTCACAACCCCACCGAACCCTCCTCCAACTCTCCAAAAAGTACGGGCCCGTCATGCTCCTCCACCTCGGCCGCGTCCCCGCCGTCGTAATCTCATCCGCCGAAGCCGCCAAAGACGTCTTTAAAACCAACGACCTCCACTGCTGCAGCCGCCCCACCTACGCCGCGTCCCGTCGGCTCACGTACAACTATCTAGACGTGGGATTTTCGCCCTACAGCGACTACTGGAGAGAGATTAGAAAAATATGCGTGGTCGAGCTTTTCAGCGTGAAAAGAGTCCAGTCTTACCGGTCAATCCGTGAAGAAGAAGTGGCTAAAATGGTAAAATCAATCTCTGATCACTCTTCATCTTCTGTCGCTCCTGTCGATGTCAGCGAAATATTGTTTGCCCTAGTTGCAAGCATATTGTTTAGAGTAGGGTTTGGGACAAGCTTGCAGAGCAGCAATTACAAGAGCGGTAAGGCTATTCACAAACTCCTTCACGACATCGAAACCATGCTAGGAGGCATGTCGGGAGCCGAGTACTTTCCGGCATGGATTGGGTGGATTATCGACACGGTTACCGGTGTGCAAAAGAAGTTTGATCGGATTTCGAGCGAGTTGGATGTGTTTTTCCAGCAGCTCGTTGATGATCATTTGACGGCTGGGAGGAAACAAGAAGAACATGAAGACATAATTGATGCGTTGCTTAGAACATTGAAGGAGCAAACTGGCGTGGTTGGAGCTGCACAACTTGGTCATGCTAGCGTCAAGGCTGTCCTCTTGGTAATTATTAAACTCATTCAGACCAATGAATTATTTGATCAATTTTTGTAATATAATTTTCATAAAAACTGCTATTTATCAGTCACCGACAATATTGAGTTATTTTAAAAGAAAAGACAATATCATTGCTCTTTCAAAGAAAAAGGTTTTGTTTATAACTTTAAACATTTTTTACTACTTTTTTACGGAATTGAATCCGATCCGTATCCACTTTGTGGAGATAATCTTCACATCTTAGTCATTCATCATGTGTTATGCTGTCAGAAATTATTTGACTTTTTTTATCTAAAAGTAAACATAAATAATATCTGATGAAAACTGACTGCACAACGTACGATGAACGATTAAAATATAGAGATAAAGACTTTTTTTTACAAACGCATATTGCTGACTATAAGACTTGCGAATCAGAACTTACTATTAGGTGGAATAGACACTGGTGCAATTACAATGTGGTGGGCAATGGCAGAGTTAGTTAAGAACCCTAGAGTGATGAAGAAAGCGCAACAAGAAGTCAGAAATTACATTGGAAACAAAGGATTAGTCGGTGAAAGTGATGTGGAGCAGCTTGAGTACCTAAAGATGATAATCAAAGAAACTCTAAGACTGCATCCTCCAGCTCCAATGATTCTTCCAAGAGAAGCCATGTCCCACTTCAAAATCCAAGGCTATGATGTGGACCCCAAAACACGCATCCTTGTGAATGAAGGGGCAATCGCACGAGACCCTAAGATTTGGAACGACCCAGAAGAGTTTTTCCCAGAAAGGTTTGATGGAAGCTCGGTTGATTTTAAAGGACAACATTATGAATATTTGCCATTTGGAGCTGGTCGAAGAATGTGTCCAGGGATATACATGGCGACAACGACACTACAGTTTGGACTTGCAAATCTTCTCTACTGGTTTGATTGGAAATTGCCCAATGGGATGAAGGTGGAAGATTTGGACATGGAAGAATCAGCTGTCGCTTCTCTCACCGTGCCTATGAAAAATCATCTCTTACTTGTACCCCAGAAATTTTATCAGAATTAAGAATCCTAATATCATTAGGATTTGGGAAGATGAATTTACGATTAAGATTGAATTGAGTTAAACTGATATGTTTTCATCTTCTTATGTTATAATTAAATAAAAAAATGATTTTCATACTTTTTATACTCCTTTAGTTCCATAAATGGAGAGTCAAGAAGCATGCTCTGCATGGTGATCAATAAAAGGATAATATTTGCACACTATCAGAAAATGTGGTTTGCCTTACAAAAACTTGCCTGACAAACCATATTTCGTTAAATGAAGACTTTTTATCTTACAAATTTTTTTAGTTGGTAAGGTGGTGGGGGTGGGGTTGCTAGAAAGATCATCTACTTGAATCATATTTTGTAGACCAATATGTAAGGGTTAATTGGTTTTTTTTTTTTTTTTAACTATAAGAGAATGAAATCAACCATCAACTGCCACCTCATATGGTCTTAAAAATAAAGTCTAAAAACATAATTTCCCTAACATTTTCCTTCCTTTCTTAACTCTCCCTTCTTCTACGTCATGCATTCCCTTCCGTCTTTTTTCTTTTTCCCCTCTTCTCATCCAATATAACATATGGGAATTTCAATTAGTTTTGATAGAATTTGAAGCATCTTATTCAAATGCTCCACATTCAAGATATCAAAAAACCACCAGCAACATGATAAGCTTTGTGAATAACCTCTAGAGATTGTTAATTAAAATGCTCCAAATCTGTGTAACAAATTTCAGAAAAAGAAAAAAAATAGGGCGGAACATGCTGATAAAGTTCTTTGCAAATCTGTGTAACAATTTTCAGAAAAAGAAAACAAATTGGTGACAAAATTATGCAAATTCATTGGAGAAGAAGAGAGTGTGAGATCAGCGGCGGATCTAAATTTTTAACATCAAGTGATCCTCTTATAAAAGCTTAAAAATATTTATAAAAAAAAAAAAAAAGAAAAAAAAAAAAGAGGGCTGTAAAAGCTACGGTACACATTAATGTGATTCCACAACTGTGATAGGGTTAAAATAAAAAACATAAATATTTCTTGTGTTATAAGTCTTTTTGGTTTTCTCCAGCCGCCTGGATATGTCAAATAGAGAATCTGGTTTGGACTCGTTTTTGAGAAAAGCGAGTCCGGCTGCACGTCTCTGACCTTAATAAAATGATTCTTTGTATTCTTTTTCTACTATTAAATACTATAATAGTCAATAATGTGAGTAAAATATTCATATGCGTTGAAAGGCATACATGATGCATCCCCCTCAGGATCCCGTTACGAAATCTCTAGCTCTTCTATTATATACAGACGAAGACCTCAGAAAAAGCATTTCATTAGAAAGCTCCAACCATGGCTCTCATCACCCCCGTAATGTTCTGGCTTCTACTTCTCCTACTTATCCCTCTACTTCTTCTACTTAAAAAGAAGCAAAATGTCGATAAAACCCCACAAAATAAGCAAAAGCACCTTCCACCAAGCCCTCCCAGGCTCCCCCTCATAGGCAATTTACACCAACTCGGTTCACCACCCCACCGATCCCTGCTCCAACTCTCCAAAAAGTACGGGCCCGTCATGCTCCTCCACCTCGGCCGCGTCCCCGCCGTCGTAATCTCATCCGCCGAAGCCGCCAAAGACGTCTTAAAAACCAACGACCTCCACTGCTGCAGCCGGCCCACCTACGCCGGGTCCCGTCGGCTCACGTACAACTATCTAGACGTGGCATTTTCGCCCTACAGCGACTACTGGAGAGAGATTAGAAAAATATGCGTGGTCGAGCTTTTCAGCGTGAAAAGGGTCCAGTCTTACCGGTCAATCCGTGAAGAAGAAGTGGCTAAAATGGTAAAATCAATCTCTGATCACTCTTCATCTTCTGTCGCTCCTGTCGACGTCAGCGAAATGTTGTTCGCCCTAGTTGCAAGCATAGTGTTTAGAGTAGGGTTTGGGACGAGCTTGCAGAGCAGCAATTACAAGAGCGGTAAGGCTATTCACAAGCTCCTTCACGACATCGAAACCATGCTAGGAGGCATGTCGGGAGCCGAGTACTTTCCGGCATGGATCGGGTGGATTATCGACAGGGTTACCGGTGTGCAAAAGAAGTTTGATCGGATTACGAGAGAATTGGATGCGTTTTTCCAGCAGCTCGTTGATGATCATTTGACGGCTGGGAGGAAACAAGAAGAACATGAAGACATAATTGATGCGTTGCTTAGAACATTGAAGGAGCAAACTGGCCTGGTTGGAGCTGCACAACTTGGTCATGCTAGCGTCAAGGCTGTCCTCTTGGTAATTATTAAACTCATTCAGACCAATGAATTATTTGATTAAATTTTTTATAATAATTTTCATAAAAACTGCTATTTATTAGTTACCGACAATAATGAGTTATTTTAAAAGAAAAGACAATATGATTGCTCTTTCAAAGAAAAAGGTTGTGTTTATAACTTTAAAAAACATTTTTGACTACTTTTTTCAAGCGCATACCATTTTATGTTGCTGACTATAAGACTTGTGAATCAGAACTTACTTTTAGGTGGAATAGACACTGGTGCAATTACAATGTGGTGGGCAATGGCAGAGCTAATTAAGAACCCTAGAGTGATGAAGAAAGCGCAACAAGAAGTCAGAAATTGCATTGGAAACAAAGGATTAGTCAGTGAAAGTGATATGGAGCAGCTTGAGTACCTAAAGATGATAATCAAAGAAACTCTAAGACTGCATCCTCCAGCTCCAATGATTCTTCCAAGAGAAGCCATGTCCCACTTCAAAATCCGAGGCTATGATGTGGACCCCAGAACACTCATCCTTGTGAATGAAGGGGCAATCGCACGAGACCCTAAGATTTGGAACGACCCAGAAAAGTTTTTCCCAGAAAGGTTTGATGGAAGCTCGGTTGATTTTAAAGGACAACATTATGAATATTTGCCATTTGGAGCTGGTCGGAGAATGTGTCCAGGGATATACATGGCGACAACGACACTAGAGTTTGGACTTGCAAATCTTGTCTACTGGTTTGATTGGAAATTGCCTAATGGGATGAAGGCGGAAGATTTGGACATGGAAGAATCAACTGACGCTTCTCTCACCGTAGCTATGAAAAATCCTCTCTTACTTGTACCCGAGAAATTTTATCATAATTAAGAGTCCTAATATCATTAGGATTTGATAAGAAGAATTTACGATTATGATTTTTTTTGTCAAACGATTATGATTGAATTGAGTTAAACTGATATGTTTTCGTGTTCTTATGTTATAATTAAATAAAAAAATGATTTTCATACTTTTTAGGGTAAATTACATAAAACTACCTCAACAATTGAACCAGTGACAGTTTCATACCCCATTTTTATAATATGTCAATGTCATACCTTATCTTACGAATTTGTGACAATTTCATACATTTCGTCAGTTTGTCTGTCAATCTTCCGTTAAATAGTGATGTGGCTTAAGAAGGGACCCACTTTCTATTAAAAAATTAATAAAAATTAATTAAATATTAAAAACTAAAAAAATAAAATCTTTTTTTTTTCATGGGGAACCCACCCCCTAGCTCCCTCACCCTTTCTTCTCCATCCATCCGTGTGCCCCCCCCCCTAACCTACCTTCAATGCCAAAACCAGACCCCCTCTCCCCCGCGCCGCCCTCTCTTCCTCCATCTCCACCTCCCTCCCATGGTGCTTCTCCCCCTCCTCCTACACACCCATCACCCTCACCAAATTAATCCCTATAAATACCCAAACCCTAACCCCTATAATTTGAATTCGCCAATTTAAAAATAAAAAATAAAAAAAATTTCTTCTGCATCTCCCCCACGCGAATATGTTGTGACACAGAGGAGCATGAGCAGGTTGAGGACACGGGTCTGTAGTCTTATTGAAGGGAGTGCAAATTTTTCTTTGAGACCGCAACTTAGCGGGGGTTATGCAGGCATTTGGGTGTTGGGAAGTCGTTGAAAGAATTTGAAGTTTTGGGTTTTGATGGAGGGGTTGAGAGTTGGAGGTTAAAGGGAATGGGTGCTTTGATTTCCAAGATGCAGCAAGTTCAAAGCTTGCTGTGATTTTGGGTTGAAGGTTGCAGAGATTGCTAAAGGTGGGGGGCTGAAGGTTGTAGAGATTTTTGGGGGAGGGGGGGGCGGGTGAGATGGGAAGAAAGGTGTGAGGGATGCAAAATTTTTATTTTTTTAGTTTTTAATAATTTGTTAATTTTTTATTAATTTTTTTAAGAGAAAGTGGGTCCCTTCTTAAACCACGTCACTATTTAACGGAAGGTTGACAGACAAACTAACGGAAGATATGAAATTGTCACAAATTCGTAAGATGAGGTATGACATTGATATTTTTTAAAAAAGGGATATGAAACTGTCACAAGTCTAATAGTTGAGGTAGTTTTATGTAATTTACCCTACTTTTTATATTCCTTTGCCACATTCAGTTTCATTGTTTTTATCAGTTGATTTGTTCAATTCATAGGTCGTAACAAAAGAAGGAAATGTAGAAATCATTAGCATTAAATAATTAGAAAACTACATTACAGTCCTTGAAAAACATCACTTTTAAACTAAAATCTTGTCTAGGATAAACTATTCAGTTCTTTGATTCGTGTCCAAGTCAGCTATTACATTCCATGTGAGGTTAAATTTTTTATGTAATTTTTACTATATTTTTCTTTGTATATTACCTTGTGAATAAAATGACTCAAAATTAGTGTAAATTATTTTATTATTTGGTAATAAAAACATTATATATTTAATTTAGGGTTGAACTCTATTTACTACCATCATGTTTCGTGGTTTTCAACATTTAGTACATCAAGTTTTTTTCGTCCCAGAGTCATACCTAAAGTGTTAATTTTGGGACAGTCTCATACATCCGTTAGTCAAACTGTTAATTCTCCCGTTAAGTGATGATGTGGCGCCTAGGTGGACAATGATTGGGTGCCACATGTCATAAAAAATATTAGGGTAAAGTACAAAAAATTACCTCAACTATTGGTGTCACGACACTTTCATACTTTATCTTTTTAAATTGACAATGTCATACCTCATCTTTAGAATTTGTGCCAATATTATACCTTCCGTTAGTTTGGTCGTTTATTTCTCAGTTAAATGCTGACGTGGCTTGATCTGGACCCATTTTCTATTAAAAAATTATTAAAAACTAAAAAAAAAATCATTTAATAATTTTTAAATATTAAAATACTAAAGAAAAGTAAAAAATTAAAACTAAAAATTGAAAAAAAAAAACCCTCACGTCCCCTTCCCCGCCCCCCTTTCTCTCTTCTTCCCCATCTTCATCTTCTTCCCCTTCCAGCGCCCTTCTTGCAACCCAGAAAAAAGAAGAAGAAGAAAAAGAAAAAAACAATTTATCTTCCCCCCCCAACTCGTGATTTTTCCCGACCCCCCTTCCTTTCTTCCCCCCTCCCGTCTTCCCTAAACCCGAACCCACCCTCGCACTCACTACCTGCAACCCAAAAAAAAAAAACCCCAGTTCGTCCGTTCCCCTTCCCCCTCATCCCCCGCACCCACCTTTTTCCCTCAACACCCAGTCCACCCATTTTCTTCGTGCCCAGGTTCTCAACCTTCGGAATCGGCCTGGCGAAGGTTTCCCAAATTCCGATGGGGAGAAATGAGAGAAGGGGGGAAGAGGACGAACTGAGTGTTGGTTTTTTTATTTTTTATTATTATTATTTTTTTAATATTTAAAAAATATGAAATGATTCTTTTTTAGTTTTTAATAGAAAATGAGCCCCGGATCAAGCCACATCAGCATTTAACTAAGAAATTCATGCCAAGCTAACAGAAGGTATAACATTGGCACAAATTCGTAAGATGAGGTATGACATTGTCAATTTTAAAATATGATGTATGAAAGTGTTGTGACACCAACAGTTGAGGTAGTTTTTTGTACTTTACTCAAAATATTAAAATAATTAATTAAATAAAAGTTAAAAAAAGATAAAAATAAAACCTATCCTTCCCCCCCCCCCCAACGTAGAAGAAGAAGAAGAAGAAAAAAAAAAAATAACTGAATCTGCAACCCAGAAGAAGGAGAAGAAGAAAAAAAAAATTCAAATCTGCAACCCAGAAGAAGAAGAAGAAGAAGAAGAAGAAGAAGAAGAAGAAGAAGAAGAAGGAGGAAGAAGAAAAAGAAGAAAAAGAAGAAAAAAAAATCAAATATGCAACCCAGAAGAAGAAGAAGAAGAAGGAAAAAAAAAATCGAATCTGTAACCCAGCAGAATGAGGAAGAAAAAGAAGGAAAATAATAATAATAATAATAATAATAATAATAATAACAGCAGCCCAAACCCAATTCGTCCCCAACCCCCTCCCCACAAAACACCTGCCTTCCTCCCCCGCCCTGCGACTGAGAACGCGAACCCATACCATGAACTCCGTATTTTTCGATTTTCATTATGGGTGAATTTCGAAAATACTTTGAGATGGGAAGTTTGAGTTTGAGATGATTTTTGGACTGGTTTTGTGGTAGATATCCATTATGTGAAAATGACGAACTGGTTTTTTTTTTTTTTCCTCCTTCTTCTTCTTCTGCGTTGGGGGTGCGTCGGGTGGGGGGGGGGGGAGGGATAGGTTTGTTTTTTTTTTTTTAACTTTTATTTAATTAATTAATTTAATATTTTAATTAATTATTTTTTATAGAAATAATAAAACAAAAAGTAATAGGAATATAAAATGTTGACGTGGTTTAACCGTGACCACACATCACAGAAGGGCATGGGGAGAGTATGGAAATGGGAGAGCAGACAATCCAGCTCCGACACAAAGTTAGGGACAGCAGATCCCTGGCCTATGGAGTCACAGGTGTTGAACAAGACTTGTAATAAAGAACTGCTGTTTCAAGTTTGTACGCATCTAATAGAAATATCTTTGATTTCTTTTTTTACTTGTTGGTCTTGAAATTTATCAATTAATCACCAGTATTGTGATAATATTTTTTTCTTTAATAAAAATCTTTGTCTTCACGTGGAAGTGCATGTAACTTGGATAGCAAGGTTTCATTGCCGAGCAGGACCTTGTCCAACAACCGATCAATAAACTCATGAGTTCGTCCAACAAGTATCCAATGAAGCTAAACACAAAGTTTCTGGATATGTAACAATGTGCCAAATACTTGTGTTCCTCTTTCGGGGAATGAGCTTAATCCTTCATTTGCAAAAAAACCGATTGATTTTCTTAAAATTCATTTAAAGATGATTACTAGAAAAAAGCATTCAAATCAGAGTTCGTTGAGTAATCTAATATATCAAATAAATATATAGTTCATCAAGAGTATATTACTTGGTACCTAAATCATTGATTTGTTTAATACATTCGGATAACTAAACGAACTTCGGTTCAAACGATTTTCTTAGGGATGATCTTCAAATGAATTTAAAAAAATTAAACGGTTCCGATAATAAAATTTCTACGGTGAAGATACGTCTTTTGCTAGTCCAAGAATGAGCTCATTTCCTAAGTGGGAACATATATCCCATATGTTTTATCCTTCTTGGATCTAATTTTTTATTTTTAACTAAAACTAATGAGTATTACCAATTTAGCTGCATTTCACAATATTTTAAGGGAAGTGTTATTGGCACTTCAAAAATCTCATTTTACACTCCTCACAAGTGTATTTTTCCTTCTAAATATAGAAAGTTTGGAGTGTAGAATGAGAAATTTGGAGTGCCAATAACAATTCCCTATTTAAAAAAAAAAAAAAAGAAAAGTTGGATAAGGACCAAATATTCTTTTATCAAAAGTAGGCTTTCAGTATTACAGCCTGCAGATATTTAGAGAACACCACAGCTTATATAAGATGGACAAAATCTAGCTAGGAGATTCATTGATCATAAAAGCTTCAAATGGCTCTCATCGCTCCTTTCTTCATATGGCTTCCATTTCTCCTCCTCCTCATCCCTCTACTTCAGCTCAAAGAGAAGCAACATCTCCCTAACAAGCCACAAAAGCAAAACCCCCTCCCACCAAGCCCTCCCAAACTTCCCCTCATAGGCAACTTACACCAACTTGGCTCCTCATTACACCAATCTCTATGGCAACTCTCCAAAAAGTACGGACCAGTCATGCTCCTCCACCTCGGCCGCATCCACGATCATAATCTCTTCCGCCGAAGCAGCCAAAGATGTCTTAAAAACCAATGATCTCTACTGCTGCAGCAGACCCTCCTCCACCGGTGCTCGCAGGCTCACCTACAACTACCTAGACATTGG